AGTTTTTATTTAAAAACCTTAGTAATAACTTGAGCATATTCTTTATACATATAATTGGTTATAAGCATTAACTTTCTTTTTTTTTTAAATCCAAATATTGTTCATTATATACAGGTTTGTTGTAGCCAGAAAAAAAAATAACATTGCTTTTATGGGTGTTTCATTCATACTTTTAAAATTGATTTGTTATTGCTGAGAGTTCATTATAAGTGGGTTCATTATAAGCAAACACTACTGCATATTGAATATTATATATTTGCTTCTTACCTCCCTGTGAAGACATCCCAACATACACCAAATAATAGCAAACACCAAAAATTAACAGAGTTGTCTAAGTGTTGGAAATGAGTGCAGATATGTTTTAATATGCAGTTTACATCAAAATTGGGCAACTGATACAAATTAAATCTCTCAACAGAACTGTTCCTTATGAGCACACTCACCCATGTAACTAAACAGTCAGTTGACTAAAAATTCCATGTCAGTGCCTAGCTTAATACTTATTGTTTACTCCTTATTTTCTATTGAACACTGTCATAATATGCAAGGAGCTGCCATTACAGTATTGTAGCTCCTTGCACAATAGTGTTGCTAGTAGGGCATGCACTATTGTAATTTTTCAGCAATATGCCTATGCTAAGTGTGCACATTCCATCAGTCATGTGATCCATAATCAGAAATTTCTAGTTACATCACTGGTATGTATAAAATTTGTAAAACTGTAGACAATTTTGTATCAATAATAATGTAAGTTGTATTAAATAATAATCTTATGAATGCATAAAAATTTGAGTAGATTACTAAGTTCCAGTGCATTATACAAGTTTTGTTCAAGATGTAAACAATTTTAGTTATTGTATTTTTCTACAAAAAAAAAAGACTATAAACATCCTAAAAGACTAACATCCTAAAAAAAAGACTATAAACATAAAATAATATAGAAAAAAAACTATATATATATATATAGTTTTTTTTCTATATTATTTTATGTTTATAGTCTTTTTTTTAGGATGTTAGTCTTTTAGGATGTTTATAGTCTTTTTTTTTTGTAGAAAAATACAATAACTAAAATTGTTTACATCTTGAACAAAACTTGTATAATGCACTGGAACTTAGTAATCTACTCAAATTTTTATGCATTCATAAGATTATTATTTAATACAACTTACATTATTATTGATACAAAATTGTCTACAGTTTTACAAATTTTATACATACCAGTGATGTAACTAGAAATTTCTGATTATGGATCACATGACTGATGGAATGTGCACACTTAGCATAGGCATATTGCTGAAAAATTACAATAGTGCATGCCCTACTAGCAACACTATTGTGCAAGGAGCTACAATACTGTAATGGCAGCTCCTTGCATATTATGACAGTGTTCAATAGAAAATAAGGAGTAAACAATAAGTATTAAGCTAGGCACTGACATGGAATTTTTAGTCAACTGACTGTTTAGTTACATGGGTGAGTGTGCTCATAAGGAACAGTTCTGTTGAGAGATTTAATTTGTATCAGTTGCCCAATTTTGATGTAAACTGCATATTAAAACATATCTGCACTCATTTCCAACACTTAGACAACTCTGTTAATTTTTGGTGTTTGCTATTATTTGGTGTATGTTGGGATGTCTTCACAGGGAGGTAAGAAGCAAATATATAATATTCAATATGCAGTAGTGTTTGCTTATAATGAACCCACTTATAATGAACTCTCAGCAATAACAAATCAATTTTAAAAGTATGAATGAAACACCCATAAAAGCAATGTTATTTTTTTTTCTGGCTACAGCAAACCTGTATATAATGAACAATATTTGGATTTAAAAAAAAAAGAAAGTTAATGCTTATAACCAATTATATGTATAAAGAATATGCTCAAGTTATTACTAAGGTTTTTAAATAAAAACTTCTTCCTGTAACATAATGGGAGTAACATGAAAGAGTTAAACAAAATGTAAGAGGTCATGACCTAAACTGACCTAAAGAAGATTACAGGGGGATAACAGGGAAACTGTTAAGCAACAGATCCCCTGTTATCCCCTGTAATATTCTTTATTACTATAATCATCTTTGTTCAATCTAAAAATCACTTATAAAGTATTTGGCTCATTATTTCTCATATACAATTGAATTTGAATTCTAGTCAACTATATGATAAGTCCCAAATGTTTTCTGAGATTTTGCACATTACTTCTCCTGGAATGATATAATTGGGCTGCAATTTGAAAAAATTGTAGATTTATAAATTCCCACTGTTGTCCCTCTTTCCTTAATCTCGAGAACAGAATTAGATAGATAAAAGCCGAGACTAGATATGGGAAGCTTAGGGGCAGGAGGCCCTGATTAACTGTATATGAACTTCCAATGTAAGCTGGAAGTCATATTATTTCAAGTAAAAATTTTTTCCTTTTAAGGAGTTAGTTAGATGATGGTACGACTCTGTTGTTAACAGGAAAAGTATCATGTACTACTAATCTGAGGTAGAGAGCATATATTTAAATTAAATAAATAAGAAAAATATGAAAAATTGCAGCCTGGCATTGTGATGCCACAACAAATAATTTGCTTGTTTTTAATATATTTCTCTTTTGTGTATGTATAACATTTTAATACATTAAACTATTATATTGAATCTTCTTAATACAAAAATTGTTTTGACAAATGTTTCACATTCAAAGATAACTTTGGTCAAAAAATAATTCTAGTGCTATGCACATTTTCATTGGGAAATTTTGAGTTATTAATTATATATATATATATATATATATTTTTTTAATTTTAATTTGTAGGGAAACTAAACTCTGATTCAAATTATCACATTTACTTGAAATCAAAAATAAGAGTGAAAAGCAACTAAACAGATATACAATAACTACATAAAAAGTTGGATGATAGTAATTGTAGGCTTAAATCTTTTTCAATTTTATATTACTTTCTGAAAATAACTTATCCATATCTAAAATTTAAATAGACAAAATGGAGAGCTATTTATATTTAAGGCCACATAATAGGGCCATTTCTCCATACACATCTTGGAAAAGATATGAACAGTCACTTAAATTATAGGTGTAAAGTTTTTTAAATATATTTTTTTTTATATTTATACAATAATTTATTGATATAATTGCATATTATAAATGGAAACGAAATCTAACCTAACTTTTCAGCATTTTTTCAAAGAAAATGCACTCACTGCTGATATATTTATACTTGTAACTTAGCTTTCTTTTTATCTTTACCTTCCTGGTGCTTTAAAAAGTCTTTATCATTGTTAAATCTATCAATGAAGATCATCTAAGCTGCTCCCATTGACTACAGCGTCAGTGAAGATCCTTACGAATATCTGACTCGAGTCGATTTTTGACTCAAGAAATGTTCCTAAGTTGGTTTGTAGAAAAGTACACCTCCACACTCAAATTATACACTATTTACAGTTTATTTACAAACCAAAATGTATAATACATGAGTTAGAAACATTGTATATACAAGATGATGACACGTAGTACATTAAACAACAGGTTGTAGTACATTAAACAACTCTTCTGGGATTAAGTTCTGGAGAGGCCTAGTAGCCTGATAGAGTCGGCTCAACTGCATGGCCCGTTGACGTCTCTACACTATCTGTCCCAGAGGATTCTTTAAGAGGAGAGAGAGTCTCTCTAAGCTCTGTGGGCTGTCCAAGTGTTGCTCTCACATCCAGTTTCTTGCCCTGTTCTCTGTCTCTCTCTGTTGGCCCGTTATTTAGAGACTTCTTTGGCGGAAACTTCTGATCAATCACAATCATTCCTTCCATCTGAAGCTTCCCAAGACGTCGGCGGTCCTGCTGAGTCAAGCTCACAATCGCGTCTGCTTTTGTTTACATTTTCTTATTTTTTCTTTAATAGTTTAACTTATGGTAAACGGTCTTTTGCCCGACCACCCGTGAGGCCAATAAACAGAGTGATGTTCCCTTTGTTCTCCCTCCTATTTACAAATAAACAATGCAGGTGGGGATAATTTACAAGACTGTGTGACTTTTGACCTTACTTTGTTAAGAGACAACCTTTACACTATCCATTCCTTGTTTTACATAGACAGCATTTATATTTTATCATCATTTTCATTATTTTAAATGTATTCTTAAAGTATATTTTTGTATATTTTAGTTTTATTTTATATTAATTGGTTTTATTCATATTCTATCTTTTTTATAGATTGAGTGAAAGAACACATTTATGGATCATGTGTATAAATTAATAGCTGGTCATTAAAAATATTTTTACCAGATAAAAATCTTATCAGTTAATTTGAATTAATAATGAAATAATTAGATAAATTATTTGTGATGATAAAAATAAACTTCTGTTTCATGTATGAATAATTCAAGGGTAATTCCAAAAGTTAGGTCTATTGTTTTTGTTTAGAAATACAAAGAAAAGTTTATTTTCAATAATTTTTACATTTTAAAGCTTGAACATTTATCTATTTTTCTACATAATTGGTGTATTGGTCAATGCAATTTGAAAGTACTGTAGCAGTTTTTGTATGCCCATGTCATACTGGCTTGCCGCCATGTCGCGGGACCAATCTTGTGCACACCTTACAATATTGCAACTTTTCCATTAAAATCGTACGAAACCACAAGTATCAATATGCAGAGATCATCCAGAGTGATCTGCCAATTATTACATATGGTTTGCTCATTCTTTGCTACTGTCTTGTCGGAAATTGACTGTCTCCTGCTTTTTTTCTTCATCATGAATTTTAGTATGATTAACTGCAAACTCCCTATACCACTTGCGGACATTTTTGACATTCACGCGTGACTCGTCATACACTTTCATCGATTGGCGATGAATTTCATTCAGTTTAACATGATATGGCGGTGAGCTTTTATGACATGGGCATACAAAAACTGTCATAGTGCCTACAAAAATGCATCAACTGAAATGATGATTATGCAGAAAAATAGATAAATGTTCAAGTTTTAAAATGATGTAAAAATTATTAAGAAATAAACATTTCTTCCTATTTTTAAAAAGTAGGAGACCTTACTTTTGGGATTACCCTCATATAAAATATTTCTACAAAATTATTAGATGTAATAGTATCAAAAATAAATCAAACTTTTGGCACAGGTTTTCTTAAGTAATGCAAACTTTTACATCGCTATCTTCAAAGTAAACTCCTGCACTACACACTTCTGCAAACATACTACTAGTAAAAGCAGTCCAAGAATCCACTTAACTTCTTCTCTCCTGCTTATTGGAATATGTAACACTAACTTTTATCTTATGGAACAGAAAAAACCTACAGGGACAAAATTAAAGAACTAAGAAGATTGGGAAAGTACTTTTAAGATTTTCTTAGTCAGATATTTACTGACCAGAAATGATTGACTGAAGCATTGTAAACTAGAGCTCTTAGTTTACAGACATTAAAAAATGGCTTCTAATACTGCTTTGACATATCTTATGGATGCTATAGCTGCAGGAGGAGTTAGTTTGAAGATAGATTTTTATATTCTTTTGTACTAGTAACATAATAAAAGTTAAGTTTATTTTTTTATTTTACCATGCATATGACGGTATAAAGTACAGGTTCACAATCTTAATTTTTATTTATTTCTGCAGGAAATAAATGTTATTGTCTATAATGTTGATTACGGTGACAAAATAAAAGTTTCAAGAAAAGATATTTTACCATTATTACCAGCCTTTACAAAACTACCTGGATTTGTAGTGTGGTGTTCTCTTGCAAATATAGAGCCATTACGAACTGGAAATAACATTACAAAGATATGGCCTAAAGAAACAATTCAAAGATTTTTTGAACTTACTGGATTTGAACGTTCTTTTAATGCAAACATTGTTTCACATGGAAATGCTGAGTAAGATTTATTTATACTAAATATTTTTATTCTAGATATATCTATACTAATATTATAAAGAGGTAAAGTTTGTAAGTTTGGATGTAGGGGTAATCTCCGAAACTACTCATCTGATTTCAAAAATTCTTTCACCAATATTTAGAATGGAACTTCAAGGTGGACATAGGCTGTATATTATTCTATTAAACATTCACATAAATTAAAAGATATCATCTAGGGTTAAGGATTTTATGTCCAACAGATGGCACTAACTCCATGAGTACGACGACCTAAGTTTGCTTTTCTGTGAAGATGAACTAAAGCACATCATCATCTATCTATATAAATAAATATGTAATGTTCGTTTGTTCCTACCGATTCCTTAGAAATTTTGGCACAATGCTGCATTCGAATAAGCATGTGTTTTTATATAATATACATGTCGAAATTCCCCCCACTGGGGGGGGGAGATGGACAGGATTAAGGCTTACTGTGAAGAACTTGGCTTCTATTATATGGGGGAAGTGCTATACATTTATAATAGATACATTTTGAGCCACAACACATGGTGGGGTCTGCTAGTCAAAGATAATTTTAGTTAAGAAAGATTAACTATTCTTTGATAGTTGTAAAGTTTAGATGGATTATTTTATTTACATTTTTATTCAGCCATCTGTAAGGAAGTTCTTATAACTTCCCTATATTCAGTTTAAATAAAGACAATTATTTTTTTTAGATTTTTTTGTTCTTCTGCCATATGAACATTGAGGGTCAGTTTTATTTTCCTGGCTGTTATTTATACATAACAAGGTAAAGTATTGGAATCATGTCAAATTTGATCCTCTGAGATTTTTGCAAATCTCCACATTTTGAGACCACCTGAATCCAAAAAAGTAAAAATAAATAAAAAAGCAAAAAAATTTTGTGGATGTGTGTGTATTTTGGCATCTAATTTGCTTAATATTTCAAAACGGGGTAAAGATTAAGTAATGAAATTTGGCATGATGACTTGTGTATAAGGGGCTTTGATGCTATTAAATTTTGATGGTTAAAGGTTGAGTGGTGGGAGATAAAGGGGGTCTCCAGTATAATCAGACTTAATGGTGATTTTACTCATTATTAACATGTTGACTGCTACATGTCATTGAATGGAATGCTCCCTGACCCTATTGTTATTCAGCCATGTTATTGTGTCTAATAATAATCTATTTATAACATCAGTTCTTCAGCTATACTGATAACAAAAGTTTATTCTTGCTAAAAAACATGTGAGTTATATTGTAGTTGGTGTGTATAACAAAAAATTCTTTGAATAGTTCAACTGTGAGATAATTCAATCACACCAGATGAAACCAAATATAATTAGAAATTATAATAATGAATGTCTGGCATAGATTAATCAGATTATATACTTTATTATTAATCAGTGCTAAGGAACACCATCAAATAGCCAATAATTTATTCAATTTTACAAGCTCTATGATGGCTTTTCTTTTCTGCTAGACTTATTACACCATCAATTAGAAACAGGACAATCTTTAGAAAATCACATTTTTATTTCCTAGAGTATTTTCAAAATTCGAACAAGATTGCCCACATTGAATTTAAATTTATTTCCGCTTATACCATACAACCTGACAAAAATTGCACTATGATGCAGGGGTGTAACTTGGCAGAGCCATGTCAATATTTCTATGAAAACTATTATCATAGCTTTTTACCATATCAGATAATTTATTGATATATTTATAAGGATTATGACGAGTAAATAATCTGTATTTTATTTTGTGAAGTATTATTTAGTCTTTCAACAATGGAAGCTTTTGTATCAGAATGGGTTGAATATTTAATTTTTAAACAGCTTTTTTATTTATCTGTTATAAAATACCTTTTCTTTATTGGTTTGAAAATTTTTTGGAATGTTTTGTTTAAAAATGAGTTGAAAAGCATCCAAAACAGATTGATGTTTTTCTATCCTTTATTGCTACAACATGACAGTATTTAGTAAATATGTAGATTATGGTTAATAAATATTTTATGCCATTATTAAATCTAGAAAATTGTTTTAGCACAATTTAATCATCTTACCATAAGTCATTGGGATAAAAAGCTTTAGTTTTTCTTTGCAAATATTTAATTTTTACAGGTTTATGTAGAGTATAAACTGGTTGAAAAAGCAACTATTTTTCAACAATAGGTCTTGATAAATTAGATGCTTTAACTAATTTACTCACACTACCAAATGATGCAGGTGATTTCAGATTATAATATATCAATTTCAAAAGTTTTTCCATTTGAGCCTTCCCCTCTTTCTTGAAGACTTCTTTCACTGGTAAAATATTCTTGGAGAAAAGAAAAAATAAATGTTGTTAGTAGAAATTATTTGGCACGTAATGTGTCACTTTGGACAAGCATGCTGTAGGTTTGCCACTTCTCTCTAAAACAATAATAATCACATCTTGTTTCACAGAACTTCAGGTACCTCAAGAATTCTGTAAAGATATTTACAAGAAATTTTTTATTTTCATTATTTTCCAAAAATTTCTACACTGTACTTTAACTATAATAAGCTTTATCACTTAGAAAATTAAACAGAAGTTTTCTACAAATGTTTCATTTCTTTAAACTTTGTTTAAAGTAGGGGTCCCCAAACTTTTTATCCCGTCGACCCCTTTATAGAAAATTTGCCTTCTTATCGACCCCAGATTAAGTATTTAACAAAAACATTAAATCATTTTTGTATTTCTAATGTTAAGCGATAAGGTGTCCTGCATAACAACCCAACAAAAGAATTTATAGTTCCCATACCTTATAAAATCCATCCAATAACATTAACAGAAAAGATCTTTTTCACTGATTTATGATCTTAAAAAATAATAGCAAAATTATGGATTGATGGAAATTTGCCTATAGTTCTTAAACTGTACGTGTTATAATACGTAAAATACACACTTATCTTTGAAAACATAAGTTATATTGGATGAAAAATCCTCTTACTGTCATTTTGCAACTACTACTGAATTACTTAAAAATATGTTGACGTGCCAAAAATTCACTATACCTTTAAAATGCAGTCTAGTTTACATCTGTCGAACGTTTTCGGTCGACGTGCCTTTTTATTAAAATAGTTGATATTAGTGGGATGGATGAGTCTGAAGAGAAGCAGCAAGATTATTGATATGTGGTTGAAAATTGTTAAGTTTTAGTCGCAAATCACCACAGTTTTCCAATTTCAATCTGTTCCTCTGTTTTGTCAAAATTGCGTTCACGTGGCTAAAACCAGCTTCAACCATGTATGCAAGTAAGAAAGGTTCGGCTTCTGCTCTGAGCTTGGGATGTTTAGGGCAATATTGTTATTGTTCCAAAATTCGCTGAGATTTTTATTTTTAAACAACGCTTTAGCTTTGAAATCTACACATATTTCACTCAGTTCATCTTCTAAGCCAGGTTCACTACCTTCATTATCTATTTTTACATCAAATGGATTAGCAAATCATTCGGGAACATGCATATTCTCCAAGTCTTCGAAATGTGCTTTAAAGTCTTCTCTTAATTTATCAAGATGTTCAATATATATCTCCAAATCACGGTCAGAAAACTTTTCATTTTCTCTTAGTACTCGCAAGTTTGAAAATTATTTAAAATCGGATCGTGCCAGTGAAGATGTAAATAGCTCCATTTTTACTTGAAAGGCCATAATGATTTTTCGAGCTTGAACAATTTGAACACTTTTTCCTTGCAATCGCTTCTGTACTACATTAATGATTTTCGATATATTACGATAATTTCTCTGTAAGCGACAAAATANTCGGCTTACATTAGCAGAAATGCTATTAAAACAAGAAAAACTGAATGGTTTCTTATGTAAGTACATTTTTTTTGGGAATTGTATAAGAATAGGTTAAGGTAAAATATTCAGTATTACCTGTTGTTGATATTTTGTAATTTGAATGATTAATTTATTAATGTGAGGTACTACAGGAAACTTAACTGGCTTTATACCTTTTACAGGCAAGTTTGACTCGTAATGGGAGTCAGCATAAGTGAATGATGGGAAATGACCCTGACTTGTATTATCTGTAAAAAATTGTGAAAGTCAAAATTAATTTCAAACTCCAAGATCTATCTTGGTGGTAGACATGTTCATGGCATGCTTACAAGATCATCTGACTGTCTTATTGGAAATGTTGATTACATACTAAGTTATGTAGTATTGAATGTAGTAGATTGAATACTATATAGCCAGGGTGGCCAAGCTCCTTGATAGTCCGAGCCATTTTTCAAAATTTGAAATTTTTCGCGAGCCACAATTAAATACATATTAAAAAGGTATGCAAAAAATTTCAGATTACAAATTATATCCGTAGCAAGAGTGATACAAATTGTTTCTTCCAGAGCACAATGTCAACTGTCCATTGCAATGACAGTTTACAAATTCAAAATTGGTTGTGGAGTCGGTCGATAACGGACAATTACGCCACTGATTATGTTCGTTCGCGCAGTTTTCGATGAGTCATATCATTCTTAACTTGGACAGAAATGAAATTTGTTACAACGTTGCACTTAGTCTTTCATATTTGTTGTTAGTAATTTAAAAGACATTTTGAAACACATACGGAACGATAATAATTTTTTAAAATATAATACAGTCGACCCCCCTATAAGATATAGATACGTTCCAATTTATTACGAATCCGATTTCTTACAAGTCGTTCCAATCACAGCCCGACACGTGTCAAGTTTACGGACTACGGCTGATTGAAAGGTTTTCTTTCATAAAATTAATCGATTCTACACTAATCTGACTCAACATTTCCAAAATACGTATATTTTTTCGTAGTTTTATAGGAATCGTAATTATAGGGACCGTAATTATAGGGGGGTCGACTGTAACACAAAAATGAAAACTGAACTCGGGTACATTTATCGAGAGCCACAAATAATCATTCAAAGAGCCGCATGTGGCTCACGAGCCGCAGGTTGGCCACCCCTGATATATAGGCTCTACTAGAAGATCCATAGGCATCAGAATGCAGGAACATCAGGTGGATATTTGTAATGGGAGAACCAGCACGGCCCTTGCAACATACGTAACAGACCCGGACATAATTGCCAACTTTACTAGGGCCAATCTCCTCCTCGGGGCACTTCTCAATGATTATCTCAAATGGTTAGAGGTGATGCACATCTTTAAATCTTCTATCAAAACCACGTGCATAAATTTTAAAGAGGAGGTGCTTTTGTCAATGGCCTGGCAAGAGTTGATACACATCACGCTTTAGCCGCTCGTTATATCTGAGCAGGTGGACTCGTCACGCATGCGCGACATATAATTTTTAAAAGAACTGTTCAAACTCAAGAATGAAGTTATTTGAACGGCATTCGTTAATTGAATTTACGAGTTAAAACTGTAGGAACCTGATGAAGAGCCCTGAAGGAGTTCGAAAACGTTTGTTTTTGTACTTGTTAGTCGATCGTACCACATCATAAATTGGTTCAGTGTATGTGATTAGAATACCCTATATATAAATTTTGGTTTTTATTAATGATTGTTAATTAATTGATTTAACGTTAGTTTCTTTCTAATGAATAAAATTGCAATTGAAGATATTTTACAAATTTTTATGCTTATAAATTTTAATTGTAAAGTTTTTTAAATTAAATTATTAGTTAGTTTTTCTATGAAACTTTATCCATTTATGCTGTATAATAAACTTCTAAATTCATAAATAATATTTTTTACAGGATATTCTGGTTTCTGACTCCACATCTGAAAATTCAAAAACAATTGAATCTGCATGTCAAGATGCTGAAATCGATAAGTTGAAGGAATGTGAATATATGTTGCTGTCAAATAATAGTTCTAATGATATGTCATCTATTGAAAATAGTTTTTTAAAAGATATAAAATATGAAATGCTTGAATTTGGTACTAATTTTCATAGATATTGGAATCTTAGAGTGCCTGAACCTGATATTCCTGGAGATAATTCTATATTGATAATGTTAACCTCTATTACTAGTCCTAGTGACTTTTTTGCCAACATTTTATCAAGTAGAAATTACTTATTAGATACATTAGAAGAAAGAATGAATAAATTTTATGAGACATGTCATATGAAATATATTAATGAAGATAAATTAATACAGCCAGGCATATTTTGCTGTTGTAAAGATAATGAAGGAAAGTGGAATAGAGCAAAAATCATAAAAATTCTTAAAACTGAAGAAAATAATGAGGTAGCATATTTTATCTAAAAATAATTAAGTTAGTGAAAACTTAATAATAATAATTACTCAATATATTATTATATGGATTTTATCATATAATATCATTTATTGTAAGTTAATATATATTTTAATTCATCATAGAAGTTATAAATAAATTATCTACATATATATACACACACACAGTGTTGCTAGTAGGTCGTCATGGACTATTGTAATTTTTCAGTAGCTTACCTACCTATGCTAAGTGTGCACATTCCATCCAAGATAGTAAAGAAAATTATTTATAGAAAAAAACATATATATATATATATATACATCCTATACATATAAAACATATTCATAAAGTTCATGAATTAAATTAATATAGAAAAAAAACTATATATATATATATAT